TACATACATACATACATACATACATACATACATACATACATACATACTACATACATACATACATACATACATACATACATACATACACAAACACTCTTATGTATGTATTTACTAAATTGTAAATATTTGCATACACACACACACGCACACACACACACACACAGCACACCCTCCTGGATGGCATTCTGACCACAAGAGGGCAGCAGATAGCTGCAGGTGGACTATGTGAGGTCCTCATGTGGTTCGTCTTTAGGGATCTCAGGGGTCAGTTAAAGCACCTGAAACTGAACCGGTCATAACTACAGTTCTGGACTGACCCTGCTGAGCTTGTGCTCCGTCTTGGTGCAGGCGTCCATGAAGGTCTGCGCGATGACGTGCAGGGACGCGTCCACCACCTCCGTCACGTGCACGTCGAAGATGAAGTGCGGGTTCCTCAGGATGTTCACCCAATACCTCATCGGCAAACTGGGGAGACACACGTTACAGAGACCTTAAAACTCAACCCGCTGGTGTTTTTTTGTTTGTTCTTTGGGGTCATTTGTGTTTCATTTCGGTAAAAAAAAAAAAAAAAATGCATTTTTGAAAATTAAAATTGATTTTTATTCAGCTAAATTCCAAGTATTAATCCAATAATTGTATCCTATTTTCTTAGCATTTGGTTTTCACTGCAATTTCAGTTAATTTAATCAACTTTATTAAGTAAGTGTAATTTACATATATTTATTAGATTGTTTGTTTGATTAAAATACTTGATTAGAATACAGTGATCCGTATAATCATTCGAATTTCAACTCATTTCTGTGGTTTGAATTCTTTAAGGATTTTACACTTTTAAAAAATTACACATTTTTTTCTTTTCTTTCTTCCCAGCAAATCTTAAAAAAATTACAAGATCTAAACATGACAGTATCCCCATCTTTCCACCCCACATTTCTGACTATTTTTCTTAGTTGGTTTTTAATCAGTGTGCATGGAGGTGGGACAGGGGTTATGTGGGGTCATGGCCTAGGGTCCCTGGGTGGAGACCTTTGGGTCTCCATGGAGACGCATCCGCTCATCTCAGCTCAAAAAGAGTTTTAATTAAATGTATTAATCAAAAATGCCCGGCAGAAACAGGTGTCTGGAAACAGGAAGCTGGGAAAAAAACTTGATTTAAATTCTTATTACGCAGCATCTAACTTTTTTTTTTTCCGAAGGTCATTTTCACTGTTTTTGATCCTTTATGTGAGCAAAACAAGACTATATCGTTCTAAATTCCAATAATGTGGATCTCCACTTTCAGACTTTTCAAAGAACTGCTGACGCAGCATTTCCCACTAACCTTTCATCTCTTCCTTCCCCCACTTCCTCCACGGACTATAACCCCCCTCAATAATTTATCTCCACCGATGAATATTTTACTGTCCGACTTGTTAGTGTGTGCCTGGCTGATGATGGACAGGTCCGGCTCAAGGCCGCTTTAAAGCCGATCGGTTTGAAATCTCTCTATCCATCAGTTTTTTTTTTTCTCCTTTGCTCCGTCATCATTTATCCAGGCTGATAGCAGCCTCCCAATTACAGCCGGCTTTCATGTGCTCCAGAGCTGGGTTTAGCCGTCATAAGGACATAATTACACTCCAGTTCAGCTGATGAGATAGAAAACACACACACACACACACACACACACACACACACACACACACACACA